ATTCCGGATGTTGGAATTGGGCTCTAAGGCTCATTTGCTTAAGTGAAAAAGGATATCTTCAGATTGATCAAGCTAAGGTGCACAGCTGAGTCGTGGTAGCACGGGTAGGTGCTCGAGATATTAAATAGTGATTTCAGACTACTTCAGTGTAATTTTCGGCATGTTCGAGGACAAACATATGTTTAAGTGGGAGAGAATGTAATGACCTGGCTGGTCGTTTTAAGCTCTAGTGCGCCGTTCAACAGTTTGAGGCCCTGAGCAGCTTCACTTCAGGTAGTGTGACTTGTACGCATGGTCGAAACTGAATTCCGGGAAGTTCGGAGTTGATTTGGAAAGAGAATTCTCATTACGGAAGCTTTAAGTTGAAAAAATTGACTAAGATTGGGTTTTTGAGTAAACGACCTCGAAATCGGGATTCGAAGGTACCATTAGGTTCGTATGATGATTTTAGACTTGGGCGTATGTCCAGATCGGGTTTTGGAAGACCCGGGAACGTTTTGGCACCTATTGTGGAAGTTAGCATTTTTGGAAGAAGTTCATAAGTTTGGGTTGAGGCGCATTTCAGTGTTATCAATGTCCGTTTGAGATTCCGAGTCTGGGAATAGCTCCGTATAGTGATTCTGGTGTTGGGAGCGCGATCGAAAGTGAATTCGGAGGTCTGTGGGTCATTTTGGAGTCATTTGGCTAAAGATAGAAATTTGAAGGTTTTTGAGAGGTTTGACCGGAAGTGGACTTTTTGATATCGGGGTTGGAATCCGATTCTAGAAGTTGGAGTAGGTCCATAATGTTAAATGTGACTTGTGCGCAAAATTTGAGGTCAATCGGACGTGATTTGATATGTTTTGTCATCGAATGTAAAAGTTTGAAATTCTTAAGTTCATTAAGCTTGGATTGGAGGCCGATTCATGATTTTAGCGTTCTTTGATATGATTTGAGGCCTCGAGTAAGTCCGTAATGTGTATTGGGACTGGTTGGTATAATTGGTTTGGGTCCCGGGGGCCTCGGGTGGATTCCAGGTGGTTAACGGATCAAATTTGGAGTTTGAAGAAGGGCTTCAGCAGCTGGTGTCTCGTGTAACCGCACCTGCAAGGCTATGGCCGCAGGTGCGGAGCCGCAGAAGCGGCCTGGGAGTCGCAGGAGAAAAAGGGGGCAGCCAAGGGAAGGACCGCAGATGCGGGGTATCGGGCGCATCTGTGCAAGCACAGAAGCGAGACGGAGGACCGCAGAAGCGGTGATTGGCGCAGGTGCGATGAGGGCTCCGCAGATGCGGACTCGCAGAAGCGGCAAGGAGTCCGCAGGTGCGGAAGTCGCTGGGCAGAATGTTTTAAAAATCGGGGTTGAGTTCATTTCACTTATTTTTCTCCACTTTGGGGCGATTTTGGAGAGCTTCAAGTGGGGTTTTTCATCATCAACGACAAGGTAAGCTAACTCCCACCTATCTTGAGTTAAATATATTGAATATATATGGATTTTAGCATGTAAATTGGTAGAAATTTGGGGTTTGAGAAAAACCTAGAAAATTCGTATTCTTGGATTTTGGCCACGATTTTGGGTAAGGAATTAGGAGAAAATCATGTATTTGAGTTCGTGAGTTCATGGGTAAACTTTATCTTCGAGAAATTTGGGAACCTGGGCACGTGGGCCCGAGGGCAATTTTGTCAACTTTTCGATTGGGGTTAGGAATTGTTATAAATTGGATTGTAATGAATAACTGAACATATATTAATGGATTTGCATAATTATTGGATAGTTTTGGAGCATTTAGCATCGATTCGAGTCTTCGGAAGGGCGTGGAATGCCGGTTATGGATCTTCGGAGCGAGATGAGTCTCCTTTCTAACCTTGTAAGAGGGAATTGTCCCCATAGGTGAAATAATTGGTTATTTGCTCCTATTTGTGGGGGCTACGTACGCACGAGTTGACGAGAGTCCGTGCATAGCTACTATTATATTTAAGTCCGGGTAGGCTAGGACCCAAAAGCATGTTATACTTGGAATATTTGTAATCTTATGGACAGTTTGAATTGCTTATATCACATCGAATTAGTAAATGAAATTCTAAAAATATAAAACTTCATTTTCTTAAATTGTTAAAAGAGAAGTGGCTTTTCTTTGGATAATTTTCCCTCTTGACTTCTTGATTGACTGTCGGTGTGTGTTTAATTTCGGAACGGGCCGAACGCCTCGGTAGATTAAATAAATGCATCTATGGTTCGCGCCATTCGACCCTCTGGCAGTGCACAGTTTATTTTTTGTTGGATCGGGCCGTACGTCCTCGGGATGATTTGCGCATGCTTGTGTTGCTTGCCCTGAGATTTATTGATATTGATATTTTCCCTCCCTGACTTGAGGTAATTGAAACTTAATAGATTATGAATCCGGAGGTTTTTAATACAAAAAGGAGCTTTTACCTGTTCGTGACTAATATTAAATTTACTGCCGGTCTTAATAAATCCATAATTTCTCGCATTAATAATATATTATTATTGGACCACTAGAAAGTGTCGAAGTGGAGCTCTCATCTCTACTTCTTCGAGATTAGACGGGATATTCACTAGGTACACGTTGTTTTCGTACTCATACTACACGTGCTGTGCATTTTTGTTGCACAGGGTTATGTATGACTAGTGGCTTAGCGTCATAGCAACATGGTTGATACGGAGACCTAGGTGAGTTGCATTTATCGAGACGACCACGGCCAGCAGAGTCTCCTTCAGAGTATTGTACTGTATTTTCATTTTTGTCCACTTGTATTCCGAACAGTTTCTGTATTTTATTTCCTTCTTAGTAAATGCTCATGCACTTGTGACACCGGGTTCTAGGGTGATTATTGGGTATCTTGTGTTTACTTCCAAACATTCTTTTATTTACATTGTAAAGATTACATTTTACTAGCAAAATTGAAGGAAAATCATAGTTTTCAAAATTATTAAAACAAGAACTTAATCAAGTATTTTGGTTGGCTTGCTTGACAGCAGTATCCGGCGCCATCATGATCCTTAGTGTATTTTGGGTCGTGACACTACTACTAAGGGCTTCGGAGGGATAGTTCCTTGTATTACCTTGAGCAGTGTTAGCAGTCCCAAAGTCACCTTTCTTCTTTGACTTAAAATCAGGTGGATAGTCATTTTGTTTGTAGCAGGTTTCTCTAGTGTGTCCTTTAAAGTTGCAATAGTCACAATGCTGACTATTCTTTCTAGACCTATAGTTAGAGCCTGAATGATTTTTTCCACCAGAAAAGTTCTAGCCTGAACCTGCATTACCTTTGTTGCTAAACAATAATGTTGCCCCAGTGTGAGTCATTTCATCTCCTAGATAGGTATGATTGTGACCAATGTTACCTTTGTTATTGAGTTGAGCTAGGGTCCTTGAGGAATTAGCTCCTTTGCTACTGAACAGGGATGTACCATCATGAACTTAAGTGACGCTTGCTACAATCAATATCCGAACAAGACCTTGACTTTGAATCTAGATGATGGGTGGCCAGTGCTCTTCTGCTCTCCTCAGAGATAATCATAGAGTATGCTTTGTTTATAGATGACCTTGATGACATGTTCACGATTTAATTACTAGACTAAGAATGTTTCGTTCAGGCCCATAAGAAAACTGAAGCAATCTTTGATACTTAAAATGTTCAACATACTTCTTTGATTCTCCACAGCCACACCCAGGGCAAGGCATAAGGACATCAAATTCTGCCGATAGCTCTTTCAATTTCGAAAAATATGCAGAGACAGATGAAATCCCTTGAGTAAGGGTAGCTACCTATTTGTGCAGAAACAACACTCTAGAACCATTGACTTTGTCAAATATTTTCTTGAGATCTATCCACACTTTGTGAGGACTTAAGGCATACACCATGCCACTCAATAACTCGGCACTCACATAAATCATAATCCACGACAGCACTATAGCATTATATTTTTCCCATAGCTCATGTAGAACAGGAGGAAACTTCTCCTTAGGGTGCCTCCCATCGATAAACCCTAGCTTACTCTTTACTAGCAAACTTACACGCATAGTACTACTCCACAAAGTGTAATTCTCAAGTCTAGTGAGCATACCTGAAATTAGAGAACTACCTGAAGTATCGCTGGGTTGAAAAATAAAGGATGATGCTTGTATATTATCGAAGCTACAGTTGCATCAGCTCGAGTCGATCCATTATTGTTAGTGTTAATCGCTATTTTTTTCTTACCATGGAAATTAATCTTAGACAAAGCTGCACAAGAAATATTGATTTGCTCAAAATCGAGCGAACCATAGCTTTTGGAAGTCGAAACAATCAGACAGCTTAGTTGAGTTAATCAACTGAGAATGAGGAAGAAGAATCTAGAATCAAAGTCGTTAAGCGTAGATCAAAGCTCACTTTGATAACGTGATGAAATCTAGATTTGAAGCTATTAGCAATGGAGAAATGAGCATGAAGGAAGAAGAACAGAGGAGAAAAGTAACTGCTACTCATTGCTACAGTGATAATTAACATAACAGACCAATGGAAAGGCACTGTAAATTTTATACTAGCAGCCTAACTAATCTTCTAACTACTAAGCTAATCTCTTAACTTATATAGTTGTATACAATTGTCAATGTATCTTCCATTCATTCAAAAATTGGTCACGGGTTCGGGCGGTGAAGTTGGTCAGTGATATTTACATCAAGGTAGGCTGCCTATATCACATCCTCTTGCGGTGCAATCCTTCCGCGGATCCTGCGCAAATGCGAAATACCTCATGCATCGGGCTGCCCTTTTTTTAATATAGTAGCCTTCGACCTCCTTTGCTAATTATGCATGCTTGTTAATTAAGACTCATTTACTCGTTTCAATCTTATCTTTTGTAGACAAATGTATGTCAATCTTGCTAGATTTAATATATTACCATAAATATAATAGATTTGTTGTTTCAAATATGCAACTTTTTAAATTATATTCTTTATTACAAGATTAGCAATATCAATAATTTATCTATATATATAAGCAGAACCATCATATCAAACCACAAAAACATAAACTGAGAACAAACAATTTAGTCAAAAATGGGAAAGAAGATTGATGCCAATATTATTCAATTGATGGCAATGTCAATATTGCTAATGTTGATTTGTACTTCACAAGTATTATGTGATTTGGATCAAAAATGTTTTAGGGATTGTATTCGTGCATGTTTTCAAAATCCTGGATGTTACATATCCTGTGGAAAGGAATGCTCGCATAATTCTCCCAATAATTCTTTAATCAAAGGTACCTTCTTTTTCAAACTTCTTTTGGCCTGTTTACGTTTTAAGAAATTTTAATAGGGATCTTTACACAAATAGCCGATTGACTTTACGGTTTACTTACTATTTTCTTGTTCTAATTGGTATTCGTGGATGGTAACACACATAAAATGACCATGACCCCTCCCTCCCCC